CTTCTTGAAATGTTCTTGACAGTGAAGTATGATTGGCTGATTATTTTGTGTTTGGCTCTCTGTTTTTTTTTTTTGGCCCTGTAGGCTAATCTCTATTGACTTGATCACCTGAATGCTGGTTGTGTTTGGCTTCAGACTGGATTTAGCCAGTGGAAGATTAGAGGGGGAAACACACACACACACACACACACACACACACAGATTGAGATCAAAATATTTGTTCTATATTTATTCTACTTCCTTTCCTGCCATGGTTTTAACACTGGTTGGGTCTTGACATGACAAAGCTTCTATTGGGTGTCCTATCTTTTATGGCTCCTGTTCTCAACCAGGCTATGCTAACATGTTGGTTTTGGCAGGAAACAAATGACAAATGCATGATATGGGCCCAAAAAGGGATCAACAAGGGATTGCTGAAAGCTGTGCCTTGAGCTGTAATTTCTCTCAAGGGGTAGAATGTGGATGCAGTGAGGCATCCACCTGGTAGAAAGCTAGAATTCTTGGGGGTTGTGTGGCAGAGATGCTCTGGCCCTTACCTCCTACTTCTTCCCTGCCCACCTCCCTTGGACCACTTTGTTTCATGTAATACTGAAAGCTGGATCCAGAATAGATGCATTTATCACTCTTTAAAATTATTTGTTTAATATTTATCTCCTCCATTAGACTCTAAGCTCCTTGAAAGTACAGTCCCTGTCTGTCTTGATCACTGTAGAATCCCCACTACCTAGTGGCAGTTTTGCTTTGCCACATAATACATACTTAATAAATGTTTTCTGAATGAAGGAATGGATGAATTGCCTTTTCTGGGCCTCTCTCTACCTCACAGAGGAAAATTTATAGAGAGCTCTTAGACTGGGCTGGCTTTATAAAGATTGTGGGTCAGCTGGAGAAAGCGGGATTTCCAGGGGTCAAAAAAAAGTTGCAGAGGGAGGCCTACCCTACTTGGCATGTGTTGGAGGACAAAACTAGGATTTGTGGGTCTGAGGCTGGGCTTCTGTGGAGTGGAGAAATGCATGAAGGAGCATGTTCTTGATAATTTTTTCTCCATGTGGAGAGAGTCTGGAGAAACAGCTGGGGGATCATACTGAGTTAGACTTTTGTTGATAGAAGCAGTGGAAATTCATGGAAAGGGAGAGGCACTATGTATACCACCCACCAGTTGTTTAAGTTTGGTGGCACCCTTTTTTTGCAACTTTCTGGAATATTGCAGCCTTACCCCTCCCTAGGAGTCACAGTATTGAAAGGCAGGACCTAAAGCCTGAATGATCACTCCTTAAACCTCAGCCTCCAACTTTTCCTCCCTCTTCTTCTTAAGGTTGGTGTTATGGGACTGTATCCCAATCCCACCCAGTTTGGCTTTCCTTAGGCTCTACTTTGGAAACTTTCTCCCTGTTTCCAGTGGTTTGGCACTTCGGAGTCAAACCTGCACTGAGTATCTGAGCACACTGTATAAAAAAACACGGAGTGATGGAGAATTTGCCGTGGGACCAGAAGTGTTCCGGAGCTAAGATGTCCGGAGGTGCTCCAGTCCCTGTGTCCTTCTTCTGCCCATCTCTGCCACCCTAGATGAGGGGAAGCTCCAGTTTCTAACAGCCCAAAGCGAAGCAAAGACCCTGCGGGGTCAGCCCTGGTAATGTTTGCAGCCTGGTTTAAAAAGATGAGCTGAGCCAAACAGTCTTCTCCCAAGGGCTTGTAGTGGGAACACAGAAAAAGAGAGGCAGCTAGGCTCCCTAGGAATAGTCATATGTATAGAGAGCTGAGAACCTTTCACTGGACCAGCTTCTTTGCGTGGTGGTGACTTAATCCATGATGTACTGGGAACTGACTTGAACTGGCTGAAGACAGCTGATTGGTAAAGTTTCAGGAATTCACAATCTGGTTGTTGAACACAGATATTATTAAAATTAACATATAAACTGACAGATTATATTAGAAACAAAGGTAAGAAATACTCAAAACCTCATCACTTCTTAATAATTTTATGACATTTTACTATTTACTATCTGTGCTCATAAGGTTATTTAGTACTGCTGTATCTGTGTGTGAGAAATACTCTATAATGGTGGGCACATCTCTTCAACTCCCTATTCAGTGATGTCAGGATGGTAGCTGCAAATTGCCATTTGCACCGTGGAAATCTGCAAATCCTACAAATCAGGACTCTTCCCATCCAGCCTCGCCCCACAAGCCAGTTGTTAAACGTTTACCAGCACACCAGGGGGCTAAACCCATGTACTTGTAACCTGGGGAAGATGGCCAGCTTGTCAGGACATTGAGACCTTGCATGCTTCTTCAGCATAGGAACTCCTATCTGACCAGATGACAACTGATCAAACTAGCAGCCAGGAATTCTGCTGGGGTTGAACCCAGATAAAGAATGATAGTTTGGGGGTGCCTGGGTGGCTCAGTCGGTTAAGCGTCTGCCTTCGGCTCAGGTCATGATCCCAGGGTCCTGGGATCGAGCCCCACATCGGGCTCCTGGCTCAGCGAGGAGCCTGCTTCTCCCTCTCCCTCTGCCTCTCTTCCTGCTCATGCTCTCTCTCTGTCTCTGTATCTTTGTGTCTCAAATGAATAAATAAAATCTTAAAAAAAAAAAAAGAATGGTAGTTTGAACTAATGATTGTATCCAATCTCTGCACTCTTTTGTCCCCAACGGTTATTTTTTTTTTTTT